CCTGGAATTCAATATTCCGAAAAGAGGTCTTTGGTTGCGGTTGTAGCCTGTACGTAGTAGGATCGTCGGGTTACCATGTTTGGATGTAACTGCAAGCTGCACTGCGACCCCACATCATCAGACGCACCACCTACATCTGGAATCTGGCACACCAGAACTGCAAAGGCAGAGGATCACGAAGGATCAATAAACTCGCAGCAAGTAATCGATACCGTCGGATACGGAAGAGCCTTCCCTCCAGGCTTCGGCAGCTCGACTTCATGATGGCCATATGAACATTCAAACTGAAGGGTCCAAACGTCCGTCGATGGCCCTGGACCTGCCCACCAGTAGTGCCTGGTGGAGAAGACAGAGAACAGGGATCGCACGGCCGATGGACCTGTGTTTCAACCTCTCCACGCCAGTCTGTTTTTGGGGGGTCCCGGAGTACGCAGGTACAAATCCGGCTGCATAAGCGGGAACTGCAGGGCGGTAAAAAGGGGGGGACCCAATGGAAATGGCATGGTTGCCGAGAGCAAAGTAAATTTACCCCGGCCATCTCCATGGAAAAGGAAAGGAAAGGAAAGGGTGAACGTGAGTTCCTAAAGGCGATAAAGTTCCGATTGGCATCTCGATGGAAGGGCCATATCTGCGTGTCACTTTTTTGGAAAATATCCTGGAGAGGTTTGGGGGATTTTGGAGGACATTGGTGCGTCTGCCGTGCGAGTGTGAACGGAACGGCAGATTTCAGATCCCTGACGGGGTATTCCCTAGGAAATATACTGGACTGTATTGATCATACTCGAGCACCCCCCATCCAAGATCCTATTTCGTACAAACCACGCCATGAAGGCCTGACCCTCATCCTCAGCCTCCCTTGTGTCTTCTCTGCACACTGCACTGCAGTATTTTCAGCCTCCTCGGTGACTCGTGCGTGGGGTGGAGCCCCCACCCCATCCTTCAAAATGGTGTGATGAGCAGAGCTTAGCTTGAACAGCTTCCTTGGACCCTTGGGATACTCGAAAAAAGAAAGAAAAAAGAAAGAAAAAAAAGGGCATCAATTCTAGCCCCGTGCTCGGCGTTCTTGACACAACAGACGACGACAGTAAAGCCGACAGTCAACATCGGGGACGGCCTCTCCAAGAATAGCGCGGAATAACCTTCTTTTAGCTGACTGACCTGGTGATTTCTGGATAACCAATCCTTGATTTCTAAGCTTCTGCATTTTCCCCGCTTCTACACTGGGTGGGCCCCACTGACTTCAAGACTGTGTGAGCACTGAGTGGATGAGATGGCGATGTACATCCTTTAACGTATACAGTATCTAACAGTGAAAGTTAATAAAACATAGGGTCCTTCTACAGTACTCTAAATCCAATACTCCTCTGCGACCGTTGAAGTTTATAGTGACTCCAAAGCCCATTCAGGAACCATCCATCCTTAGAGCCCAACGTCTATACCCAGGATACAGCCTTCACGACCCAATGATCTCCGTCTGGAGGTAAAAGTCAACACAGATCGGGAGGGCGGTTGGTAAAATGGCATCAGAGACGGTGCGGTGGTAGGCGCCCGTAAGTTCGTAACCACCTATTCGGAACGAGGGGGGAGGTGAGCACATGGTTATCCAGAGTTACGAAGTAGGAATGGGTGGGAGTGGGTGACGCCATAGATTCGCACATGGAAGATACCTGGAGCGTCAGTCAGTCTGGCACTGCGCGTTGCGTTCCTAGTGGACGGCCTCCGTATAATACTCAGCACTTGTAAATTTATAGATGCCGGTAAGGAAGGATAGATCGCGAAACATTGTTTTGAACCAACCTCGAAATACGATGTCTACCACTTCATCCCAGATAAATCTATCTATATTAGAGTCTCGAGATCTGGAGTCGCAAGGCAAGGTTGTTCTGCGACAGTACGAAGTAGGTAAATTTACAAATGATCTGCCAACGGCTGCTCCCATCCCATGGCATGGGATGCTCAAGGCGTGGGTGGGATGGATGGGGGTGTGTGATCGTCTTTATTTGAGGGAAAGTCATTCAAGTATAGAACTTGGCGAACTTTCCGTTTTCGTGGTTTCTATAAAAGTTTGGCGAGAGGATCGTAAGCATAGAGGTTTGGAAATTTATAAACCCACATTATGAGATCATGGGAATAGGAAGTCGATTTGGTATTATGCTGCTATCCTGCTTTAGTACTACGTTGGTTGTTGCGACGATCGAGATGGCTCTTGGTAAAGAAAAGGTGGTTACTGATTTAGCTTCTTTCTCTCTCCTTGGGATCTTGAGTCCCGGGGGGAGGGGGGAGATAATAACCAATATATTTATTTATTTATCCCAGGACCAAGCCAGAAATCCAAGGATTTCGAATATGAACTTCTCGATTGTAGAGGATTTCTGCGAATGTAGATTCCGCCTATTCTTCTTCCCGTCTCCCAAGTCTCGTGTGCAATACATCCCCAAAAAAAATTCGACGTGGCATGGCGAACCGGCTATTCCACTCATAGTGTTCCATTACACGCAGCCAGATCAAGGCGGGAGATGTGTATGGCCTGGTCTGGCTGGGTACTGCTAGTATCATAGACACGGACACGAGACCGCACCGCTCGACGGAGAGATGAATTATGATTTTTATGATGATAGTGGCGAACAAGAATGTCGAGACGGTGGATTGATTTGATGTGAATAGGTACGGCTCCAGGAAGAATGATGCAGCGCGTCTTGGTGGTAGATAGCCAAGTTCTTTTTTTATAGATGGAATTGTATAGAAGAGTTAACCGAGGTTGCTGGACCCTTATGGAAACACGCTGGTTGAATGCATAATAATATAATCTAATGACCAAGATTCAGACGAGGTGCTCCTCGTCTACTGTACTCGTCTCGCTCATATAAACTCGTCTAAGTAACTATCGGAATTCCAACATCCGTATCTTACATCGAAGCGAAGCTGCGAAGCTTTACAGTACCGTAAATCCAGTACAATAAACTCCCACCCGTAACGTCACGAAGCCGAAGACGCAACTCGGTAGGTTTACTCAACACACTCTAATAGATTAGAGTTGCGGGGGAGAGCTGCCTAACTTTGGACACTGCAGTCTCCAGTCTCCAGTCCTCCACGCACGACCGGTTGAAATAGATTGATCTGCCTGACGGAATTGATTGGCCAAGCTCTCACTGCCTTCTTGATTTCGAAAAGGATAATCGCACAAGTTCACAAACGTGCTTTCTGACCCCCGACTTGAGCCCGGGTGTGCGATCGTGCAGGTGCAGGTGCAGATGGATGTCGACAGCTGACTTCCCAACCTCTTATACAAGAAGGCGTGAGATCAACATCGGGACTGCGAAGTGGCCTCTTTGAGATGGAAATTGATGGGTCGTGAACAGGGGCGGGTTTTGTCGATTGTTTTTTGATCCATTCGGTATTTTCCTGGGCATTGAGGTACCGCTGGGTGGTTCTGGAGATCATAATTAGAATGGGAAGCACCTGGATAGGTAGATACGCCGCTCGGCTAGATGGAGTCACCAGGAGTGAGGGTAAGGTGAGCACTGAGCGACGAACGGACTGTACGGAGGTACTGGAGTACTTGTACTGGTAGGAGAAAGTAGTTGGGTGCAGGGCCAGTGAGGAGCCGGGTGAGGGTACAGTGCGTGCAGTCTCCGTAAAGGCTGTTAGGGACTCAAGGAGGTTGATGGGTGCCCAAGGATAGTGGTGGACTTGCAGTGGATTAGTGACAGACAGTAGACTGCCTAAGGTGGCTACGGCCTCTTCTCCTGGCCACCTTCACCTGCACGGGAGGTAAATTTACTCGTAGAGTCGTAACATCTCACCAAAAGGGGCAGCAAAAGGGCGGTGAGGTCCTCGGTACGAAGTACAGTCCCTAGGCTAGGTAGTAAAGCAGTCAACACCCCTAGACCCTGTCATGATAGGAACCATATATATACATATATATGCTCCCATGATAGGGAACCTTAGCGTGCGTATAGGCACTGTGGTGCTGTGGTGCAGATGCCCCACTCCGTACCTGCCCAGCACTCGGCCAGCCAACCACTCTCCTGCACTAGCACCTGCAGTACCTGGATCCACCCACCCTCGTCGCCCTCTCGAGTCCCTGCACTGCATTGGAATAGTATCTCTCCTTTGCCCGCGCCTCAACGCTCGTACACCTCACTTCACTTCACCTCTTCACTGCGTTGTGATTCTTCATCGCAATCCACGCTCGGTCGAGAAAAACTACTGAGTACACAGTTACTCCATCACACCTCGCTTCACCTTTGCCACGCCTCAGTTCGTGCCAGGCTTCACCTTCCGCATTGCACCTGTCAAATCGGTCTTGGCGAGTTTCAAGGGCCCAGTACCACCCGCTGGCAGGCAAACCGCTCAGGAGCCTAGGACGGACATCTTCGACTTCGTTCGTTTCAGCGAGCGTTCGACGGCTTTCTCCTCGACATCCTCACCACACTACACTACACGACGCCATTCACCTTCACTCACAGACCAGCCTCGTGCTCTGCTCTCGATTGCGGCGCTCTGCATCCACGATCCAGTCAGGCCGACTTTCACCAAAACATCAGTGTCACTTTAGAAACTAGTTTCGGGAGTCAAATCTACCTCCTCGACTCAACGACCCTCGACTGTTTCTCCTCTGTACTCACCCACCACACCACCCCCCTCCGACCTTCGTGCGTTTGGTTTCAATTCGACTTCTGAATGAAGAATCATTTCTTGGGTCACCCAACTGCCCGCTGAGTTGACCTCCAACGATTACCATCACACATCTACCGCGCCAGTACACCCCTCGTACACGACATTCATACCACCAACCCGTCCTCGACGTCGCAATCGCTTTGATAGCCTTCCTTCGCTACTGACCCTCGAGAGATTGCGTTCCTTCACCCTCCTGTTTGGCCCCCAAACCAAGACTTGCTGTAATGTCTTCATAACCACACCAGCTACCTAGAAGATCGGCCAGACCGACCTTGAATCTCTCTTTTCCCCTTTTTTGAATATCGACGCGCACGGCGACCATGGTGTTACCACAGCCGGTCACGAAGCTGGACCATTCGTGTTCAGTCATCTTCAAGAACACCCTTTACTCATACAGCTCCAACTGTTTCCAATCCCTTCCCCTAGAAAAAGGAGCACAATGGAAGAAATTGGAGTCGGGCGTAGGCGTGGAAGGAGGCGTATGCGTGAAGACGACCCCACCAGAGAATCCAGATGCCGCGGCCATGTGGGTTGTGGGAGGAAGCACGAGTGATGCCAACTACCAAGGACTGCAAAAATATACGTTCGCGACGAGTACGTGGGAGACGATACAACCAAATGTGCCAGTGACCCAGAATCGCTTATATCATGGCGCGGCATATCTCAATGGCTCCGACTCGATTCTGATCTACGCTGGTTCCCAGGACGGAAACAAGGTACCAACCTCGCAAACATTTACGCTGAATGCCACTGAACCCTACAACGTACTCGCATACAAGGCCATTGCTGACCCTGCAATCGATCCCCAATTGATTCCATTCTCGACAACGAAGGCCATGTATGTGGGAGGAAGCGAATCGAACAAAAAGATGATGCTTTTCAGTCCATCGTCAGGATGGCAAGACTCGAATGCTACTCTTGCCCAGCCCTTTTACAACAACAAGAGCATCAAATCAATCGTTATCAATGGTGATGATGCTAGTAAAACCCTATACACTTTCGACATGACAGTATCCCCTAATGTCGTCAACCGGACCATCTTCATGGACTCCAACGGTAACCCCGTGCAGGATGCACAGCCCATTGTTTCTACTCGAGAAGCTAGCACACCTAACCCGAAGGATAGGAGAGATAATCTGACATTGGAGAAGAGAGATAATCTAACGGTGGAGAATTGGCCAACCTACAACGATACCCTGGTGCCAATGTCCACACGAACGGATTACGCTCTAGCGCGTGATCAAAGTGGTCTCGTTGTGGTGTCCGGTGGTAATGATGAAGATGTATTGTGCATGTTTAGGGCGAGGAAAAACACTTGGGTCAACGCGACTTCGATGCTCGTAAAGGCTGAAGTTCAACAACCGATAGGAACGAATCCAAACCCACCAACCACCATCTCATCCATTTCTAATCCCTCCGGAACCGCATCACCTCTATCGACTGCATCTTCTGAAGCTGCCCCCGCTACTGCACGTCCCTCAGATCCAAAGGTCCCAGTTAAGATTCTTGGAGGCGTGCTAGGCTCAATATTAGGAGTGGCAGCCATATTTGTACTGATATTATTACTGCTGCGATATAAGAGGAAGCAGAGAGAGCATAGTGAAATGGGACGTCACCGGAGAAGCTCGAGTGGTATGCCAGATGGGGATGAGAAGAATGAGATGGACTTTATGGATAGGGGTTTACCTTCAACGGCAACAACCGCATCGGCGCGACGACCTTATCATAAACAGGAACCATCAGGTGGATCATTTTCATCAATGGCCATATTGATGGGAAAGGTTGGACACAGCAAAGGAGAATCCAAAGATTACGCGAGTGAAAGCAATGGTCCATTCAACAAGAATTACGCCATCAGCAAGCCTATACCACATGATAACGCTGTATTATCCTCCGTCAAGGAGGCACCTAAAGAATACGCGAGTGCCTTGCCAGTTAATGACCCCAGCAGACCGCCTCTTAGTAAGGCAAGAGGAATGAATAATAAGGTACCACAAGGAAGCGCAAGAAGGAGTTCGGGGTGGAATAGATACTGGTCAGGTGGAAGCTCGATGAATATTCTTGGTTTTGGAGGGGCATCGAAACGAACGACGTACGAAGAAGGATCAGAAAGAGAGTCAAGTTATACGGAACCACGCAAAAGTCAATTTACGCAAAGCTCGGCAAAACCCACGCCACTGCAAGTTCCCATTCCCGTACCTGGCGGCTTGGAACTGAATAGAGTCCGTACTGGCAGTCCAACATTTTCAACCTACGAACCAACATACCCCTTGCAGCGGGAGATGTCGGGTACGATTGAAAGAAACTCGTTGACAAGTTCAATATCATCATATGATGACCGACGGGATGAATTTTCGAGTGGTGTGCCATCGAGTGTACCTGATCAATGGGGTCCTGTTGGAGGAGATGACTATGGACGTGCTCCAAGTGTGGCATACACAGCGAGTGTTTATCCCACGAGTAGTGTCTACGCGCCTACGATTCCGCGAGATACAATACCTTTTCCTGAAGAACTCCGCTTCCCTGAACCCCCGAACGCACAACGACAACCCACAGCATCCACTGATATGAGCTGGCTTAATCTTGGAAATGACGGGAGAGTGTAAAAAAAACACCTTTCTGATCAACGACATATCACCACCAGCTCGAAGCGAATTTTTTACAAGAGCATAATAACGCGCTCTTTGTTTTTGTCTATATACCACATACACATACTTTCCATTTTACTGTTTTTAAGGTTCACCATCGTCACATTTAGCGTCTGCTCTTGTTCATTCGAGTTCATTTGAAAAATCATTTGCATATGCTGGGAGCCTCTCAATCAAAAAGCTAGATGTTATTTTTCTCTCCCTCGGCGTCTCACCTATTTTTAGGTGGTCGGTCAGTCATCTCTGGGGGTGGGCTTCGTTTCTTGTTTTCTTTTTTTGTATAGAAAGTTGCATGATGAGGTGTCTTGTTGCTTCCCCCCTTTCTCTTTTCTTATGCTCTTTTCCGAATCTGGATCTGTTTGGTTGAAAGGATAATGAGTTGCTTTGCGTCCCTTTTTTTGATCTTATACTGATACCACCCACCTCGCTAGCCTTAAGTTTTTTGTTTTGTTTTTTTGTTGAGAAACAACTTTGGTTGTATGTATGTCCTACACACGTTTTTTTCTCTTGTTTTTTTTCTCTGCTTGTTTTTGGGGAGGAGCGGGGGAGGGGGGTGGTAGTTGTGGTTGTGCATCTGATGGATGGGATGGATGGGATGTTCTTTAATGCTTAAGTACTGGGTGCCTGAGTTCTATGGGGGGAGCTTGGGGGAGGCGAGGTTGAGTTGAAGGGGTTGAGTTGAAAATTGGGGTGTGGTGTGGGTTGAGGAAGGAGGGAAGGGGTCGAGGGAAGGGGAAAGAGGGATGTGTTTTTTGTATACCTACCTATACCATGTTGTTTTGTTATCTCGAGGTTGATAGTCATCATACCCCTCTTTATTGATACTTGTATTGATTATTGATACTGAAGTAAACTCTCAAAACAAACTCAAACTTGGGGATTATGTGAATGAGAATGAGAATGTTAGATGTGATTGATTGGTTGTGGTGATGTGGTGATGAAGTGCTCTTTTTTTGAGGAGGGGTAGGGAGGGAGAAATGGGGGGTTTTTTGGGTTTAGCGTGTTTGGTGTAGATGGATGGAGTTCCTTTAAGGGGGTGTGTGATTATTGTGATTTTGTGTGGGGGTTTTGGGGGTTATGATGTGGGTTTGTTTGGGTGTAAGGGGTAAGGGGTAAGAAGGGGTTAGAGTGTGGTTTGAATTTGGAGCTTTACTCCGTACCTACAGTAGGTTTTGGGTGGTGATGGTAGGATGAGAGTGGGAAGAGTGGGAAGAGTGGGACGAGTGGGAGGAGTGGGAAGAGTGAGAGTGAGTCTGTGTATAGACTATAGTATATCTATTCTCTCCTCTTACTTGGGGGTCTACGAGGACGGTCTACTTACAATACTGATCTTCTATGGTAGTGTTCTTTAGGGTATGATGTGATTATGTGGAGAGAAATGTGGATGGAATGTGGATGGAATGTAGATGTGAGTGAGGGAAGGGGTGAGGGGGATGTGGTGAGGGGGACGGTGGGTAGATTGATGTGCGGGTGG